AAAAAAAGAGGATTTGGGTTGCGCAACTTTCCTTTCCTTTCTTTTTGATCCGCCGCTAGCGTCCCGCAGTTTATTTTCACATTCCTTTTGGATAACCATACGTCTGAAGCTGGTTAAGTCATCTCATGAATTAACTTAACATTTAAATCAACAACAAATATAGTTATTAGTTGACTTCTGTAAGTTTCACGAAATTTCAACAAGCAGTATGCAGTCGAGATGTTGCAGTCCACAACACAAATTACAACAAGAATATTTTCAACGTGCAATAATTTAATCAAAGTTGAAGACACTTTATTCCTATCACTCTCAAATAAATATATTACAAAATTTCTGCACTCAAACCTCATAAATAAGACATATTTTCCTGTAAAAATTATAGCTTGTATAAACTATAGCATCTCCAGACTAGGGAAACTTTTCTACTTGACCAAGTACCAGTCGCTATTCCAGAAAAATCTCTTTATACATTCAAAAAGATACTTTTTCAAACTAGGTGAAATAAATGAGCATAAAACCCGACTATGAAGCGTAAAAGCTGTTCTTTTATTTTCAAGAGGATAGTGACATAATCAAAACTAAAAATTCACTCTTCAATTTCATTCTTGACACCTAGGGACACCGAGACACTGATTTAAAACCATCTTGAGATTTTCATCAAATTTGAAAACAAGTCGTTGAAAGAGTTCTAAAAGGAGATGACTAAAGCGTTATGTGATACTTTGTGCAAACCAACCCAATGCTTAACGCTTTAGCTCGGTATTTCTCCTTATAATGACAACACAGTATCAAACAGACAAGCGATGAGAAAACAGAAACATATCAATGACAGGAAAATCCGTGGTTCAAATACCAACTTCTCCTACCTCAAAGGATAATTACTAACAAGATCTTGGGAGGGTGAAAGGTTTACATGCAAAGAAATTTCGGTAGAAAAGTTTCACTAAATAGACTTGCAGAACAAGGTCACCGTCTTCTCTACTAAGAATACCCAAAATAATTTTGACTCAATACTTTTCATCATCTTCTGATCGATGTAAATTTTATCTCATCATCCAATTTCATTTCCATAATCATTACGTAACTGCTGATAGACAATGATGATAGACAATCAACGCCTACCCAGTCTCTTTCATACCTTAATACCTAAACCCAGGAATCAAGACCATCGCAGTGCTACTGAACGAGTTGTCACACAAAAATCAATTCGGAAAAATCGCAACTTGAAAAAAAAAAACCCTGAACGCATACGATATACAAATGCCTTACTTTAATAATGTTTTCAAGATCGACCTGCAGAAGATTTTCTCCTTCAGGATAAATGATAAAATCACCACTCCTATCTCTAATACCCGTAGAAAAAAGATCACGCAAATGTCACGCAAGCTTTTAAGAGTCACGCTTCAAAGGATTGGGTGATACCCAGCAAATGCCAGCATTTGTGGTTTGAACCTCATGTCATAGCGATGATTTTCTTTCATCTTTCTCGTAAAATAGGATGTATGCTTGTGCTCCTTGCACCCGTGATGAAGAAATTTCATCCACCCTGAAAACAAAACAAATCTCTGTTAACCTTCACAGAAAGTTCAATATTATAAACACTTAAAGAAAAATCAGAAATTTTCCGATATTTCCGCAGGCGTTCGAAAATAATCGCGAAGTGACCAGTTTGTCGCAGGGAGGAAAAATTGTCATGATTCAGTAATTTTCAGTTCGAACTGTATCCTTTTACCGTAAACTATTTTAGACTGACATGAAATGCTGAGGATTCTAGCACGTGGAATAGAGCACTTTTCAACTGATAATCGAAAGTGATCTTGAATTGCATTAGTTATGAAAACAGAGCAATCAGAATCAAGAAAAAATGTCACAAGTAGCCAATCGGACTTCAGGGTCCACACAGGCAAACTGCCTGAAGCGCGGGAAAATACGAGTGGCCAGGCGCGCTTGGTTCTGGGTTTGTTTTCTGATTGGTTGAGAGGATGGCACGAGTTTCCTGAACCAATCACAGAACGTGACGAGGCAATACCAAAAAAAAAACTTGAATCACTGTTCGCACTCAACGAAAATTTGGGCCGAAATTTTCGGGGATAGCTGGCCCCAAAAGGCGCTTTCAATTTTGGCAACTGTTTTCTTCATTATCAGAAAATTCTGATCTTATGTTGATGCGCAAATGAGACTTAAGCGTATCCACTTCACGTAGAAAGCAAAACTCACCGTGAATCGTTAAAGCAGTGCCACTGTTTGCTGATCGGGTGTTTACAGTAAGCCATGTAATGGCCGCCGTAGGTGCTGCCGGAATGATTCGAGACTGCGTACAAGGAGTACACCGCTGACCGACCCTCTGAAAGCAATCAAACAATCATACCAAATGGCATCCTTGCGAGGCAACTTAAGTTAATATTTTACAAACATCTCTGTAGAATTTGCGACATGATATTAAACTTCATTCTTCTTAGAAACTCCAAAAACAAATAGAAAACATGCAGGGATGTTTGAGTATCAAAACCCCTTCTTCTCTTTTCTGTGTTCTCTACTAGAGCTTCTTGCAGTTTTCATTCATTGAGCTACTTACAGCTAATTTGCGAGTTAGTCTTTCAATTTAAGAATTGCCTAAAAATGCGTGACATAGCGTGACTCTAGTCCCCTTCAAACTTGTTTTGTCTTGTCACGCAACACTTTTTTCCCCGGAAGCTCTTTGAGACAACAAGAGATTGAACGTCGACAAAACCACGACAAACTTGTCAAAAGGGTTTTTGACTTCAAAACTGGTTTTCATTTAACAGCCAAATGAGCAGCAAATGTTGTCGAACTGTGCAAATACGGACTCGTAGACATAAGCATCTTTTAGAAAGTTCATAAATTTATGGCTAAAACTGACAGCGCTTATTTAGCGTCCCAACAAGTTTTCGGTTTCTCGATGGCTGACGAACGTTCCAACAGAACGAAATACTCGTGAGGTTCTTACCTTGGCTGTCGGCAGCAAATTCAGAGAGATCCAGCTTAGATAAAGGGAATTCTACATTCGTCTGTAGCTTGGATCGAAAACTGAAACCTGAGAATCTTTTTAAATCTGTTTAAATGGACATTAAGGTCAAATCTCAAAATCAGAGACTGATTTCAAAAGAAATTGAAATAAAATAATAATTAAAAAAAAAACGCTTACTTTAGACATATCTTTAACTAGATGCCCAGTTTGTTGGTAGTTAAATAAATATTAAACTAAAAAAAAAACGGTCATCAAACAAACAGCCGTTAGGTTGCTCTCTAGCGGGTTCATTGGAACCTATTTTTAGGACACTTTTAGGGACACAAACTTGGGTCCCAACTCCTCTAGCAGTACTTAATCACCTTCATTGAAGGGACACCTCTATACAGGGGACTCTTTTTCATTTCCCCCAAGAGAGCCCCCTAAACTGAGGTTCCATCGTACACAAAAACAAGACATATTGACAGAGAAAGGATACGAAGAACAAGGACTGGCGGAAATCTTTGTATTGAGAATTTCTTCGTTGATTTCCTCTTGGCCTTACACTTGTCGCAAGTCTGAGAGAGAAAAACGTATATTAAATGGCTGGAGATCGGAATTTAACTTGTGTATTATGATCAAGTATGGGTAATTGCGAAGAACAACTCCCTGAAATAAAAGGCAGTCTATGACTGCATGTACCTGCTGCTGCATTGTTTTAGAGTATAAGAGTAAAAAAGCAATGTGTTGTAAAATGGTTTAATGAACAGCTGTTGTCGATGGCAAAATTGTGACAAACGGAGGACTTGGGCTGGAAATTACTAGAATAATCACATGAATTACTCGTGCATCAGATTAATTTTAATACAATCGCCACTTCGTACGCTCTGCGTACCTAGCAAAATGGATATACCAACTCCACTCGAATACGAAGGTAGAAGGTTCGAGCCTCATGTCTAGGAAAATCATCAGGGAGTTTTAGATCCACGTTTGTTTCTGACTACGTGTGACCGCAAACGTCTAGGAGTCACGTGACCAGACTCTAGCGGTCACGTGCGCCGTTTGCCGTCCACGTTAGAACTTCGGGCAAGGCAGTTTCAGGAAGTTGAACTCCCCTGACGCTTTTTCTCTTCTTGTTCGAAAGTTCTCACGCATGTCCTATAATATGTGAATTGAAGTCTTTTCTTCATAACCTATCCGTTTGGGACATTAGAAAACCAATCTTTTCGCCACATTTTGTGATTGAAATGAAGGACCCCCATCCTTTGTGTGATTCAAGATGGCAGCGCTCATGTTGATTTTTTTTTCAGGTGACAGCCGACTTCGATCTAAAAAGCTGAAAGTCACGAAACCTCTAACTTCTAACCACAAACTGCTGACCGCTGTTTGACGTTTGCGGTGAACACACCAAACGTGGATCTTAAACTCTGTCTTAATAACTATCTTCCCGCACATAAAAGAACAAACCTGGAAAATGGCAAGTAAAACTGAACCATAATCATTTGGGTCGCCATAATTAAGGCAACTTATTTCCTTGGAAATTACAGACAATTTTGTTTCGTACTTACTGGTCTTTCGTCGCCATCCAATACTTCCTCCTTGGTGAAGGTAAGGATACAGTCTCTAATGGTAATCTCGCTGTCATTTGCCCCACTGGATCGCCTTCCGGACCACGATGAAGATGATAATGATGAATGGCGGGATTTCTGAAGAGAACAATACGAAATAGTCCTGTCATGGTCGCAACAATAAGAGTTTTATCTGCTGTTCTCTTCCTCAGCTAGCGTGATAGAGTAGAGTCAACGTTTTACCATTGACGACTTTACGTTTTCATAACCTGGTACCCGTTTCTCGAAAGTCCCCGTAACTTAACGGGCCCGTGACCATATTTTAACATCAAAATTTGAACGATAAACAAGCGATAACCAATCGTTTTATTTCTAAGGCTGAAAGCTTTTTTGTATGCTTTTTAAAACCTTTGAAACCCTGCATGGAATGAAAATCACAACAGCTTTACAGGCCCGTCAAGTTATCGGAACCTTCGAGAAACGGAACCCAGATTCCTAAATAAACAACAAACACAAGAGTGATATACAAAATGAATAAATTAGGAACATAAAACTTTTATATGGCTTATTTCTTCATTGCTTATTTTCGTGACGAATAAACATGAAAAACACGGAACTGTTTACACTAAATTCGCGGCATGTCACTGATAGAGGTCCTCAGACGGAGTATTTTAATAGTATGGAGTATTTAATTTCGGCATACAACAGATAGCCCTCAAAAATTTGAAGCAAATCAGATCTGGAAGCATTAGCTTAGATATCAGTTTCCTTTATTGAACGTTTTTTGGTAAGAAAAATTGTATGTAAAGTAATAATATGCATGTTTTTTAAAGTTTGACTTATCACAGCCAAAGAGAACTAAATATTGTTTGCTGCTAACTCTTCGTCCTAAGTACTACATCTATCCGATTTAAGACAATTCCATTTACTAAATAGAATTGTGGCAGAGGTTCCCTAGCAGATCGACGACACTTAAGACCGCTAAGTTCTGTTTTTTTTTTCGGTTGTTACTGCTTCTTCTTTGAATCAGCTGGGCGACTTACCCTTGGTATGGGAAGTGACAAGTCCCAGAACGGGTCAAAGGTGACTGACGTGTAATCACAATGACAACATTTCAACATGCTTTTCAACTGTCCCACGAAAAGATCTGAAACAAGAACAGCAATGAATACTTCAAACCAATCTCATGCTCCAGAACATTTTTTCTTCGTCCTGTAAATAGCAAAAATGGCATTCCTAACGATTACTAACATTTCTTGCACTGAAATTGGTTGTTTAATCTTCGTGAGACTTCAGTTTTAGAATGCAACCGTGGGTTACAAGTCTTGAATATATCTTAAAAAATACGCAACGAGGATATTTCACAAGCGCTGCAAAGTTAATATTGTTAGTGACAACTTGTCTCTTATTCTACTCAGGAGTTTCAAATTCACTAATTTTATTTTACAGGAAGAAAGCTGATATTCATTTCAAAGTAAGAGAGAACAAAAAAGGTCTTGTACCCTTTACAAAAAAACGTCCATTTACAGGGTAATTCTATATTTAATCCGCATCGAAACAAAAAGTTGCAACTTTTAAAGCGCGCACGAACAAATCGCAACTAAAATTATGGGCCGTCAGCATGTGCATTGCAATGTTTCCAAAGAAATAACCTCATCTGACCCACCAGTCATCCAGCTGTCATCTCGTGAAAGATAACTTTTCCATGACTTCTCTGCATTCTGTCGATGACTAAAAAACCAATTGAGAGAAAAGTAAGAAGTAATACCCACACTGTAAAAAACCATTTGCGAAATGAGGCTTTTTCGTATAAAATAACCTTATTAAATACACCACAACAGTTAACTAAAATAAAAACTCCAAACCTTCTTAAAATTCAAATCAAAGGGTAACAAATTTGCGCTGACGAAAGCTCAAAAAACAACCAACTAAACTAAGTTAAAACAAACAGCAAAAGAACTCGGAAAATGTGTACGTCAGTTTTCTATGCCAAGGTCAGAGTTCTTAGACGTAATTGGCTAATTTGTGAAATCACGCGCGCCGCGCATGGATACAACAAAAGAGTACAAAGGGGGGAGAGGAAGAGGAAACTTGTAATTTGAAATTTAAAAACGAAAAAGATTTCCCGCACACATTTCAGTTCAATTTACGAACAATTGCAAAACCTCCATCTCAAAAAAGATCTATAACACAAGGTTTGTAGAGATACCAGGTTGGCATTGATCAGTATGTATCTTCTCCATGCTGTTCTCGACACATTTCTTATGGCACTGACAAGGAGAATTTGTTGAACAATCGAGAGCTTCTTTAAATGGCGATAATATCCTTTACTCTGGTGACCTTAATGTGTGATTTGGGGGTGAGAGAAGGAGAAATTAGACACTGATCACTCTTAAAGTACACAAGGATGATTACCTGAGTGAGTCGTCAAATTCACAAGGGGTATACTTTGGCTTGGATTTGACTCGATTCAAGTCATCGTGAAGTCCTTCCAAAAGAAAGCGTAAAAATTCCTGTGCATCTTGTTGGCTAAATATATATAAAAAAAGTTGAATTAAAAAACTTAGAACGTCTTGTACATAATTTTACTTTTTGCAAACTGCTTTTAGACTGTGACACAAGATATTTAGTTATAATATGTATTCAGTAATGCTAATTTAAAATTGAATCCCAATTTGTTCTCATCTTAATTTAAAACATCAGCATCAACATGCTACAATTATTTTTTTTACCAGGTTTCTATTTCAGTGTTTGTAGAAGAATTTTTTTCTCTTCTTGATCACATTAAATTGCCTTCTCATTTAATCTCTCTGTTTCAGTCATTCGTCTGTTTGTCAGTATGGAAGATAAGCATATAAAAAATGAAACAGATAGATGCCTTTCTTAATATATATAAATATATATGCATGTATAGGAAAATAGTATTTATAATAACAATATTAATAATAACATTAACTTGTAATGAAATAAATTTCATTAAAATTGCAGATTCAAGCCTGTACCTCCCACAAATCTGATGAATGGCTGATGCGCAAAACGTCAGCTTTGAAATTCTTTATGGTAGCTAATTTACGTTATCAACTCAGCTGCTAATACTAAATTACCCTGTTATACTCTTCCACCGGCGCAGCACCACAGTTTCTTTAGAAACTTGCCCCTTTATTCTTCTCCCGCATAAAATTGGGCACTAATACTAACTGAACTACGCAGACAGGCTTAATAGTGACAAAACAAATATTTGACTCACTTGTATCCCATAAATCGAGGGGCAAATCTTTGGATCTGAGTCTTAAAAGAATGCGGAGACACTGCATCAGTGTAACCATGCTTCCACATAGATTTGATTAGATCCGCAAAAGCTGTGTAAAAAATTGTTCAAACCAAGAGATTAAAGCCAAAAGCAACTTAAAATCATAGAATGGGGATGAGGAAATAATTTTAATTGCTAGGAAAATTGCCACTTAAATCATGGAAACTTGTAATAACTATCAAAATGCTTTCCACAATTTTTTCAAGCCAAAGCGACACTCTTACCAACAACAGGTACTCTCCAAAAGACAAATACAGCCAGATGGACATTTGTTGTAACATCACAAATTATTTTAAGCAAACGTTCTCAAGCAGTCAAATGTTCATGATTTCAACATGATTGCTGAACACAGGTTTCCAAATTGAAAACTTTTGCTGCATTGGAAGTGACCAAGACAGAATTTCTCTTAACAATATCAATAAAATACACAGCTGATTATTGGTTGATCTGATACCAAATTCTCCAAGCTATCATGATGAGAATTGTATTGCAGAAGGTAAAGAGAATTAGGAATGAGATCTTGAGAGTGAAAGAGTTAACAAAATTACACACAGCTATGATATAATAACATTGCTGTTGCATACACTATGTGATAAAAACCAATATCATAGTTGATAATCCATCAAATATTTTTGCTTGTGCACCATTGGTCAAAACACATCTCATGACCTAATATTCCCCTCCTAAAACTGGGGGTCCTATCCAAAGATATCACTTAACTGATATTCCCCAATTTTCAAACCTTAAGTCACTGCAATAAGTTGTTTTGTGGTTGTTACAGAAGAGGGGAAATATTTGTTTTTTTATAAATTTGTACCAGAGAACACTCAAACAAGCTTATGCAGCAAACAGTGAGCTGTTCGTAAACAATTTTTCAAGTGCATTGCAAAATATTTGAAGGAAAATCAACACATTGTCTCTATTTTGCTTGAACACATGCTTGTAAGTTTGTCTTTGGACATTATCTGTTCCTCAAAGCACACAGTTTTCCTCCAGTTTTGCTTTTGGAAAACTGTTTGCATCTTGGAACAGATTATGTCTGTGGACAAATATCCTTGCAAATCTTTGCATCAAATAAAGGCTATTGTTTATTTATAATAATGTCAATGGATATACCATGAATAAGCTTGCCCTTCATGGAACTGTTGCTGTTAATTATCTTCAGGTGAGAGCCTTTTGACAGTTGTTCAGTTAAGGGTTGTGTGTGACTCAAACATTGGAGGATGGAATTCATAAAACACTGCAGAAAAAGTGCACAAAATCATAAGTTGCCTTGACAAAGTTTCTCTGAGAATGTCAAAAAGTATGAAAGATTTCAATTATTTAGGATATCTGATACTGGTTGAGATCAGTTAGGTCATATCATTTCTAAAAAAATATACTTACTGTATTTCCTAGGTTACGCAGACCAACTAACCCATCAGAACTGCCTCTTCCTGTAGGCTAAAAGATAAAACAGACATGTTTAACAGTTCCTTTCAGCAATTCATTACACAAGAACTTCAATAATTCAAATCTGTACATAACAGAAGCTGCTAAACATTAGATAAATTCAAAATCAGAGGTTGGCAATATGCAGTGCAGAATAAAATCAGGAGTAAAAGCATACGTTTTTCCTTGAGGACAGATTTCTTTTCACCAACAGGACCCAAAACAAACAGAAATAAACTCCCACTGTAAAAAGATATTCACATCCAAAAGCCACGGTTTATCCCTCTCCTTGCTGATGATTCAATTTCTCATCAAAACAAGCAAATAACATAATTACAACCTCTTCTGGCAGAATGTGTTTTGCCACAAGATACATTAGAAATTTGCTCTGACAGTGAAATTAGAAAATCTGTCCTGACTCCAAAAATTACATCTAAACAGGAGAAATGGGTTTAAAAAGAAAAAAAAACCAGATAGCATTGCCATGAAAATGGAAACTTGAGTATAACAGGTATATTATTGCCAAACCTGGCAAAGTTCCATTCAAAATGAATGTAGTCATAGGTATAAATTATATAAATAAATTAGTCATGTTTGACAGGTATTTTAATTAAACAATGTCAAAACAACTCATTCCTAAGCAGAAACATACCATGTTGAAGGCGTAAAAGAGAAAAATGGACATTCTAAACGATTTCAAAATTAGATTTATGAAAAAAAGGAAAAAAAAAGAAAAGAATTCTAGGAAGCAGATTTCAATCCAAAAAAAAAGATGAGACAAATCGATAAATAATTAAGCATTGAAGACACTGTTTGTCTGAGTAACAAACCGTAGGTTGTTTGAAAACAATTTTTTTTGCAGTAAATTCTTTTTTTTTCCTATGGAAGCTTTAAAAATTCCAAACTAGCTTGAACAAATTTTTTTTTATCGAAATCATATACTTCAAAAAGGTCAGACTGAATCTAAATTATTTGCAGTAATCTTATCCATGACCATGACATAAAATTTCTTTGAAATTAAGTGATAACTTTAAGAAAATTTAATGTTTGATAAAAATTAAAACTCTGAAGCAAATATAATTTCTACAGTCTCATCATGTGTCTATTTTGCAATTTATCAATATGTTACAGAGAAGTAATGTCCACATAACTTCAAGCCTGTTTACTTGAAATTTCTTCAAGAAGAAGTTGCACTTCAATGCATTTAATGCATGGTTAATGGAAGATTTTTAATTCCAAATGAATTTATTTAAAAAAATTTGACAGCAATCCACTGGATAGCTCTACTGTGGATTCCTGGGATAATTAATAATCCTCTGTAGAAGACTGAACAACAGATTGCTGAAACCGAGAAAAGGGAAAAATTGTGCCTTCATGACTGACCTACTGAAAATGAAATGAGCCAAAACATTTAAGGGGGTAATGAAAGTTTCTATAGAAACTGTATTTCTGTGTTGATGGGGGGTAGTACAAGATATCTGGTTTCATTGACTGAGTTAACCCTTCAACCATACAATTCTTATGATGTTAGTTCAGAGAATTGAGTATTGGATCAACTAATTATCACCAAATTGATATTTTTCTTTATTCTCATTACTTATCTGGTTGATATTGAGTTGATATAGTTGTCACATAACTCACCGAGTTCGATGGGGACGAATTTGAGGAACTAAACGACGATTGTCTCGCACACTTCATTTCTGATCCTGGCAGAGCAGTTATGGCACTTTTTCTAGCTGTGTCCACATGCACAATACTGTAACTGCTCCTGCTTGATGCTGATTTTTCCGAGGAATACGATTGTCCGTACTTAGTCCCATAGCTATTCAGAGTTGGAATTATTTCATTCCGAGGATCTCTGTAATCGGCATGCGTTGTAGATCCATAAATACCACTGCTACATGAAATACTACTTCCATTTAAAGTTGGTTTGGAGTTTGTGTTTCTCTGAGTGTACATATGCCTAGTTTGGTATTTATCTGGTTCATGATCTCTCTTTTGTGTATAGAGATCTTCCTTAGGTCCCAAACTCGAGAGCGATTTCGACCGTCGTCCATTTGACAACTCTCCATATCTAAAGCCACCTATCCTTTCTTTTCCATTGGAGCTTCCGTAACCAGAGTCACCTGAAACTTTACGCCGCGTTTTCGGAGATTCCCATGTACTCGATTTTCTACTGTAAGTATCAGACAAGTATGATCCTCTAGCAGTACCTGCATGATTGCGACTAGAATTACTTTGGGCGACATATCTTACTCCTGCTTTATCCATTGAAGGTTTATCAGGTAGAGGACCTGGTCCGTGAGGTAGAGTTCTTCTAGTAGAGGAACTTGCGTTTTTAGTCCCCCTTGCACCAAAAGTTGACGAAAAACTACTAGATGTACCAGTACCAACCGAACTAGCTGCAACTGAGCGACTAGTTTTCACGGCACCAGAATTGTGATGCAAATGCCCCGAAGTTTCCCTACGAGTTTGTTGCATTGTCAAAGACATTTGTACATCAATGGGATAACGAATCGCCTCTAGCAAAACCTATTACCAGGTTGATTTTTTATCGTACAAAACAGTCATTAATCGAATAGTAAACCGTTTGTCTTCGCCGCCATGTTGATCACGTGACGTAATTAACCTTGACAGTGCGTTTGTGATGTCATAGCAACCAAACATAGGGGGAAAAAAACATCCTTCCAGGGTGGGCTGAGAAGTACTTTCTAGAATGTTGTGAAATAGGTTGTTGTTCATCGTGGTAGCTGGATGATAATGTAAATTTGCTTTGTTGTCTCACGACTAAGTCATTAGATGCAGATCGCAACAGAGCAAATTTATATTATCACTTTCTAGAATGTATGACATAAGTTCGTGTGATAGGTCTGTTGCAATTGCAATCGCAATTATTCAAAATTCAAATATATCTGCTATTACTGTATTAGAAAATATTCCTTTATTACGGATAGGGAAAAATTTCACCTTTTCATATCGTTGGAAGTTTTTTTCTCTACATTAAACAAGGAGCTCAGTAATGGGCTCCTGATGGAACTTAAAAATTCCCAAAAATTTAGAATGTCATGGTATAAATGTATAAATTTAGAATATTGACATTAAGATAAATGGCGAAAAAATTAAGTGTGATCCACCTTGAAAAGAAGGGGAAAAGAAAACGATTGTCCGTCCGCAGGGAAATTTCCGTTTAGAAAGAAGTTATTAGTTTCCTGTTTTACTCGGAAGAAGTTCATCGGTTTACGATGCATTTTGAAAATGAATCGCGACTGGTGTTTCTGCAACGACTTTCAAGTGAGTTGATTTGATTCTAAAACAAGAGCACATTTTTTTTCAAAAAGTATAAGTCCTCTGAAACGAACTAGCTCTTTTGAGGTAAAGAGAAGAGGCTCTGAATAAGTTTCCGCTCTTTGCAAAATCGGGAAAATGAAGAGTGATCATGTACAAAGTTACGTTGAACTGTAACTTAAAATTTAATATAACAACTCCTAACTCCTTTCTCAGTTCTTCAAGTTGAGAAAGATTTCTGTTACAAATACAGATTCAGGAAAGAGTCTTTAAAAAAGGAAATAAAAATATTATGAATAGATTAACAAACTGATTTTTAGGGTAAGTAAATCATTGTGGGGGGGGGTACGGTTGGGCTGAATCATAAAAGCGAACATCCTTGAAGTGAAAACAAACGAAAAAAACAAAAATTACATGGCATATACAGAACTAAAAAGCAAACCATCAAAACACTAATAATAACCCGGGTTGATCATTACTTTCTTTCTTTAATAATATTCTAATAAAATGAGGAAATTAATACAGTCTCGTCACGCAATACATTGCGTGACACAAGCCAAGAACATGCACGCGAGAATGTATGACTATTTTAGGAAATAAAAGACACTTTTTAAAAACAGGTTTCGACAGTTCTTCTGTCATAATACAAAGTACAAAGTGGAATTTAAAGTGTATAACAAAATGCTGATTGGACAAAACAAACAATAATAACAGAACTAATTAAATTAACATGATAAAGTTGATGATTAAGTGGCTCCCATTGATTGTGGATAGCGTCTTTGATTTTAAGTTGAGAAGTTGTGGATGCGTGATCTAAGATGTTCAAACACTCATCAGTATAAAGAGTACGACATTGTAGAGAATTATGTAGATTTCTGAAAATGTGAGAGTTATAACTATTTTTTAAAATTCGTATCTACCTGCTGAGGGATTTTCCCAAAATTCTCGGTAGCCCGTTGTAACGAAAATCGTTTTAACCCTCCGGAAAAACTGTTCCAACAAAAAGGAAGAGCTGGAACAGTAGGCAAATGAAACAGGAAGAATATACCATGCTGATCTTTTCAAAACGAAACCAAACGGGGAAGTCCCTTTGACTGCTGGCCAAGTAACGTGCATTCTGATTGGTTAAGAACGAGGGAAGGTTAAAAATACACGTTACTACATCCTGCATCTCAATCGAGAGACTTTGCATGCAGTTTTGCCTCTGAGTTATTAATGCGGCTGGCGCTTTGAGTTAAGTGATATTTTAGTGATTAAAAATGGTAAGTACAACAGGGTTTGGATCAACTATGGAAGAAAGATATAAATTCGAGCTTAGCGTCGCCGATTACAAAACGAACGATCCTCAAGGCACTTCCGCCATACAACGAACGAACTCCGATGCCTCTGTTCAACAGACGAGTAAAGATATAATCAAACAAAAACTGACCGCCAGAGTTTCCCCGATGACGCGACATCAGGAGCAATTTTTGGATAGAAGACTTCATCCGCTGACTTTAGTTCCTAGTCGTGGAAAATCAACTCGAACATATGGAGCGAGCACCAAAACACAGCTTACCGATATTGGTACTGCTGCACCTTTCATAAAACGCGAACCGCAAAAACTTGCGGAGAAGCGAAAATTCCAAGCTACAAATGTTATAATTGCCCCTAAAACTGTCAAGTCAGACACTTCTCCCAGTAAACGAAAAAAATCCGAGACGAAAAAGCCCAGACCAATTCTGCCACGGACGATGCAAGGTTAGTAACCAAATTATGTGAACGCAAGCAGTTTTGTGATTCCATCCCAATTGTCATATCTCACAAAGAAATATTTCCATTTATCACTTCAAGAGCAATGGCTTGTTTGATACTTGAATAGTTATTGTAAAAATAAAACTGGCAAACTGAGATGCTTGCAAGGTATTTTGTAATTTTAGATAATTGTATGCAAGCGTCGACGAAGAGATAATTTATAATTCATTCTCTACATTCAACAAAATATGTTTTTTTAATAATATTGTATATCACAACAGAATGTATATGATCTTTTACATGCATAATGCCAAAAAATTGGAGAAACATTTGTCGAACTAACTCAGAAATAACTGAGAGACGATCACAGATATTAACTTTCACTTTCATTTGATGACGAGGGTTTTTAACGTCAGGCATGAGTTGACACGTTTTCAAAATATTGTAAATCACTGCATTTTTCGATGATACCATTTACTGCATTTTTCGATGATACCATTTACAACATTCAAAAGTAATGGTATGCCTTCTAATAAGGTTTTTGGCCAAAAAAAGTATGGACGGTGTCGCGCCGACAAAATTGGCAGAATTAGGGGGAGCCCCAAATTTCGTTAAATTTTTCACGTGCTCTCTACTTTCGCGTCATTTGGGAAAGTCCCCCACTCTTGGTAACGTGAAAAAAATGTTACTCCCAAACTTCCGGGGTTTCCCATATCGTTGCGAAAAAGGGAGATATTAAAATATTTTTAAACTTCCGAAGACAAATATAATAGAGAGACTCAAATAAAAAATCCCAAGGCCAAGTTGCCATGTTTTCATATTCCACGTAAAGCAATACTCAGCATGTAATGTTCTCAGGGGGATCCCCTGAGGAAGAAATTGCCTTTTGGGCTTATCCATGGGGTCTCCCCTGGTGAGTAGTGCACAGTCAGCCTAGTGCAACAGGACATAAGCAGGACAACTCAAAGTTCTAGCTTTAGAAAAAAAAATTTTTCAGAAATTGTTGATAATTTAAGGATAATGTGCTGCTCTTTTTTTCCCATCATTTAACTTTCAGCAAAAAATCTGTTAAAATGCAGTTTTAACGAACATGGTTCCTTGAGACCACATTACATCTCATGCTTGAGACAGTCAAAATAACAGAACTTGTTATGGTTTAGTTCCAGTTCAGCCAGAAGTTAAACCAGTTGTTGAACCAGCTGTTAAACCAGCTACACCTGTCAGTCCAGAACCTAAACTGATGAGTGATAATGTGGCAACAATGAGTCTCCTGTCAGCCACAGAGTGTCACCTGGCAACACTTCAAGATGAAGATGGCGACACGTGAGTATTTTTTTTTAATTTTAACTCTTTGTTTACTCTACATTATTCCACCTTTGCATGCAAGGGAGGGAATGTTCTTTTTTCTTTTGGGAAGAGAGATGAAGTGGTTGCAACATAAGAGTAAGGAAAGGGAAGATTTATGGTAAACAGGGGCAGGAAGGAGGAGGCAAGAATGGGGAATTAAACCCTTAACTCCCCCTGATCAAATTTGTAATTCTCTTTACTGTTAACCATACAATTCTCATAATGTTAGTTCAGAGAATTCAGCATTGGATCAACTTATTATCCACAAATTGATATTTTTCTTTATTCTCATCACTTATCTGGTTGATATTGTATTGATATTGTAAGGAGAAATTCTGTCTTGGTCGCTAATGGGAGTTAAAGGGTAAATAGTGTAGGGACAGAGAAGAAAGGGTTAGCTAGGGAGGAGGGGTTGGGTGTGACAAAGTAGGAGGAGGGGTGTTGGGAAAGTAAGATTGTAAGGGGGCCAGATATTGGAAGGAAAGGGTGTTGGGTATAGAATGGGAAAATTGCATGTTAGGGAAGGAGTGGTTGGGTATAAATAGGTAGCAGATAGGAGGTAAGTTATGGGAGGTGAGGAAGTATTAGGAGCAAGAAAAAAGGTATGGTTTATAGATGGACAGTTTGTTGGGTTATAAGAGTTAAATTGCTAAGGGATAGTTTGGAGGAAGAACTAAGTTGTAGAAAGGGAGAGATCTGAGGGCTTAAAGAGAAGGGAGAGAGCTTTCGATAACAGATTATTCTTCACATGCACATCAGTCTAAGAAACATTTTGATTTTTCGATTACTTGCAGGCCTCTTCACATAGCTATTGCACATGGGAACACCCAACTTGTAGAATACCTCATCAACCTCATGTCATGCCTAACACTGGACATTTATAACAACCTGAAACAAACGCCGTTACACCTGGCTGTCATCACAGTACAACCTTATATTGTAGAAAAGCTTGTGTCTGCGGGAGCAAACGTGAACTTGCCTGATCGTAATGGTCAAACACCAACCCACCTAGCTTGCAATAGAGCAAGTGTAGAATGCTTAGAAACACTTGTAAAGGCAAGGAATACTCCTGACTTGGAGTTAAGGAACTTTAATGGGTACACTCCTCTTCACGAAGCTGTACTTGCAGGTTGTTCTGGGGCAGTGACTTGTTTAATAAGACAAGGTGCTAAAGTTAATTGTAAGGTGAGTTAATGGAGACAGTTTTATCAGCAAATACTTTAAAAAAATTCATAGTTAGTGGGTCAATGTTACAAAGAATCCTACAATACCAATAAGTTTTGCAAAAGAGTGTGCTCTCTTCCAACAGGTAGGCATTCCAGCTGATTTCACATTAAATAGACATGCTTGTCATCATAGCTTCTATTTCAGAAATATATTTTGGGTGATGTTTCTTTTTTTAACTTATTAAATAAGCACCCAACATTATAATTTCTGTTAAGTTGAGGAATATTTTATATCAAAGGCACTCTTATTAGAAACACTTGACTTCACTCATACAAAATACATGCCTCTTTTTTCCTAATCATTTAAGGATGGTAAAGGTGGTCGTACCCCACTGCATCATGCAGTAGAGACAGAAAACATGGAAGTGATACAAGAGCTGCTAAAGTGTGGTGCAAGTGCCAGTGAAGGAAGTTTCTCAGGGAACACTCCATTGCAGATAGCTAGTGGGCGCTCCATGCAGAACGTTAGGCTCCTACTGGAAGCAGCTAGCACTAACATCAAACCAAGCAAACATCGGGAGGTAAGGATCAAGTCAAACTTCTAAAACTTTAAATAAAATAAATAAAAAATTTTTTCACCTCCTCTTTCTCACTTTGGAGTGAAATGAAGCAACAGAAGAATGAATCTCCTTGATGCCATTGGATGCAGTTAATTTTGAGTTCCATTCCTAAACCATGCTTGAGGTTACTAAATTCTCCATTGGTAGAAAACTTTTAATTTGAGGCTAGTTGCGACAAGTTTTGATTGTGGATAGCTTCAATAAAACGCTGTCAACAATCAAAACTAGCCTCAATCCTCATCCATTCTTTCAAAACCTGTAAAGTCAGTTTTAGCCTCATAAAAAAAAGATGCTAACTAAAAGGGACTCACAATAAAACAGTAGAGTCAGTCTATCCCTGACTTCTGTGGCAGAAACAAAATGATGGTTTGAGATGAGAAGGACTACCAAAGATATGGTTCCCAGATGAAACTTCATGCCTGTACATGTTCAGGGTTGTAAGGAAGTTCAGCAGAACAAAACTACTACATGTGGCTTTAATATAGTTTCAAGTTAAACATTAATTTTTTTTTTTTTAGTTCCAGTGTTAATAATTGGTACAAGTTGCAGCTATGATTTGACATTAATTGATTAATTGTGCAAAATATTTAATTTCTGTAGATCACCCATGTAGAAAAGTCTCCGCTGGTTTTGCCAAAGTATGACGACAGACGGCAAGTTATAGTGAAAAGCACCTATGCATAACCTCGACAGCCCAAGATAGACACAGTTTAAATTCACTGCAGCTGATTACAATAATCTCTGTGCATGAGTATTACCCTTGATTGTGTTAAAATAAGCTAAGACTGTTACACCTCATATCAAGTTATTGAGCTCACAGGCATTTACACTCAGGTACTTAAATATTAAATATTTATAAGTTAATACTATTCTTTTTGTAGAGATATTGAGAGAAGTCAGTGTACATCTTCATAACATTTTTAGTTGTACAGTACCAGTCAAAGAAACTTTAAGTTTGGTATTAGTAACAAGATATTAAAATGGAATCTGGTTAACATTTAAGTTGAAATTTTAGTAGGATAAAATACTTATTAAAAAAGGGTCCATGGTGCAAACTTGGATTTGCACAGCAATCAGAGACACAAAAAATTATTATTTGCGAGCTTCAGCATTATCTTTCCTTGCATCACATATTTTTTTAAAGCAAAACTGTAAGGAAAGTTATTTTTTATTCAAGCTTGTTGGCATACTTTACAATGAGCTTTCACAAGAGAAACTGTCTGTAAGACAGCATTCTTCTGGTTGTAAAAACTCTGTTGATTACTTAGTTAGGTGTTGATAATCATACTGTTGAACTGCACATTTTTGAACAATAAAACTCTGAGCAATCAACTGAAAGGGGTTTTTATTGTTAACTAAAACTCTCCTTTTGGATTGAGCTGTTGTCATTATTACTTCTGTAAAGTGTACTTACTAAGCACTCACTCAGAGCTTTCATGTTTTAAAGGTGCAGTAATATAACAGCCAGCAAATGTACCATTGCTATGCAATGAATAAAGTACTGTATCACTTTTTAGTGAAATTTGAGTGTATTTGGCTTCCGTAGCAGATGATAGAAACTTGTTTAAAAAATCTCAAAATTTTTCACAGAGAGGAGCTATAGCTTCTGTGAGTTACAGACTGAAAAAAAATTTCTACTGATAGATAAGCTGTTTATGTTCTTGCTTGTAGTTAAAAGTAACAATTTCATTCAACAGACACACTGTTCAGAGGATTCTTGTGAGCATTAGGAAAATGTTTCAAGGAGTTATAATTATCAGATTGTTATCAATATCCTTAGTTTATTGCATAATTTAGTGACAAAACAGGTGTAAATTTTATATGTACCAAAAGGCTTGTAAAA